TGTACCAGCCATGGGAAGATATATGAAATCAGTGGAATAGACACGCTGAACAGAGAGGGAAATCAGGGAAGTCAGGGCTTTGCTATCTCCTGAAGTTCCCAGTTCCCTCTTCCTCTGAAGAAAATGGACAAAAAATAAGACCTCCTTTGTACAAAACCCGGTCAGGGATTCAGCGAGGTGACTCATGGGTCGCATGTCATTTCCCTGGCATAATATTTCACTTTGGTTAGAAACGGAGGGGGGCACAGGACTGTGTGTTAGAGAGATGACTCATTAGGTGACTTTCAGCTCGTGTCTCTTGGGGAAAATATTTAAATGGAAAGAGAGTTTAAACCCTGGAATAGATGGTTTTAGGAAGGCTAACATCTTTGGAGGGCGTTAAGAATAGGGCAGAGCAACACCTGCCAGGTATGGGGCAGGGACCTCTCAGTGGACATGAGTTGGCTGCAGTTCCCCGATACTACAGTTCAGGACAACGTGCAACTCAGGCCATATGCTGCCCCCACTTCCAGATTCCAACTGCTGCTCTCCCTGCTATAAGTAAGAACTGATCTTGTCTGACAGCTTGGCATAGACTAAGTGACCCCTCGAGGTCTAGTCCAGCTTTATATTCTGTGGTTTTGATCCTCATTTGCCCACAGTGTGCAAAAGTTGATCATAATATGCCTTTCTTCTGAGGGTAAGGAAAGAGGTAAAAGCTGTCTGGGAACTGATTTGCGATTGTTGTAGAAAAACTGCTTCAGAAATACCAAAATGGTGGTATAAACTCAAGCTGTAAGAGTCTGATGGTAATTACAGGGTGCACACACATATATAGGAGTGACTTTTTATTCTCATTTAAAAGACATAAAGCTTTCAAATAATGCAGGCTGCCTGCATGTGAAGGTTTACTGTTTCTTGCTGTGTGATTGAATTGCTTGACATGCCCCCTCTGAGAGACTCCAGCGTAATCTTTGTTTAAATTCTTTAATAGCTTTTAAAATAAGCTCTTCTCACTTGTGGCCTGAAAAAAAAAATGTTTTTAAAGCAATAGATTCACTTCTGCAGCTGACTCACACTCTGTGCAGAAATCAGGCTGCTAAAAAACCAGCATTTAGCAGAGAACTTGCCAACAGAATATAGGTATAGAGCAAATAATTATTCTGATAGTTTTCCCTTGCCAAAGCAGGCAAGGACTCTCCTATTGATCCCCCCTATGCCACAGGTTGGGAGATGAGGACAGTGACCATTTCAACATTTTTTATGGTAGTGGCAGTTTCCTGATGTAATCCAGCATCATTCCCTGCTGGCCACACAAAAGCTCACAAAAAAAGCCAGATCTCAGCTGAGCATCTGATTCAAAGAAAATTCAGCAGAGAGCCGAGTACTGAAAAGATGAATCAATACAAAAGCAAGCTGCAGCTCTAGATTTAAGCAGAAGTCCACAGCACTTAACCTACTTTAGCAGATCAACGCAGCGCATTTTTAATCAACTTATTAATCCTAAAATAAAAATAATTACCCTAGAGATCTGTATTAAAGTCCCTTAATTATATCTCATTTCCTCATTCTTTTTTCTTGTGATCAGGAGCTACAAAGACCAGAGTTTCCCAGTGTCATTCTCCTGCTTGGAGTTTCCCTTCTCACTAGGACTTTAGCTGATACTGCCATTTGCCTTGCTGAGAGCACCCACATCCATCCCTCTTGGATGAAACCCTGGTGAAAAAAAGGGTGGGCAGGATTCAGCCTTCCAGTTGCAGATGGCACAGTACAAAACAGCAGGGGAAGGAGTGAAGAATGTTTTATGGTGGGTGAAAAATGCAGGAAT